CCCTCCCCACACCTAACCTTAACCCCCACGGAGATCCAGGCCCTCCCCACACCTAACCTTAACCCCCATGGAGATCCAGGCCTTCCCCACACCTAACCTTAACCCCCATAGAGATCCAGGCCGCCCCCCACGCCTGCACATAGCCCCCCTGGAGGTCCAGGCCTTCCCCACACCTAACCTTAACCCCCATAGAGATCCAGGCCTTCCCCACACCTAACCTTAACCCCCATGGAGATCCAGGGCCTCCCCACACCTAACCTTAACCCCCATGGAGGTCCAGGCCTTCCCCACACCTAACCCTAACCCCCATGGAAGTCCAGGCCGCCCCCACGCCTGCACAGAGCCCCCCTGGAGGTCCAGGCCTTCCCCACACCTAACCTTAACCCCCATGGAGGTCCAGGCCTTCCCCACACCTAACCTTAACCCCCATGGAGATCCAGGCCGCCCCCACGCCTGCACATAGCCCCCATGGAGAACCAGGCCCTCCCCACACCTAACCTTAACCCCCACGGAGATCCAGGCCTTCCCCACACCTAACCCTAACCCCCATGGAGATCCAGGCCTTCCCCACACCTAACCCTAACCCCCATGGAGATCCAGGCCGCCCCCACGCCTGCACATAGCCCCCCTATGGGGATCCAGGCCTTCCCCACACCTAACCTTAACCCCCATGGAGATCCAGGCCGCCCCCCACGCCTGCACATAGCCCCCCTGGAGGTCCAGGCCTTCCCCACACCTAACCTTAACCCCCATGGAGACCCAGGCCTTCCCCACACCTAACCTTAACCCCCATGGAGACCCAGGCCCTCCCCACACCTAACCTTAACCCCCATGGAGATCCAGGCCCTCCCCACACCTAACCTTAACCCCCATGGAGATCCAGGCCCTCCCCACACCTAACCTTAACCCCCATGGAGATCCAGGCCGCCCCCACGCCTGCATATAGCCCCCCTGGAGATCCAGGCCGCCCCCACGCCTGCACATAGCCCCCCTGGAGGTCCTGGGCTTCCCCACACCTAACCTTAACCCCCATGGAGGTCCAGGCCTTCCCCACACCTAACCTTAACCCCCATGGAGACCCAGGCCCTCCCCAGACCTAACCCTAACCGGCCTGGAGGTCCTGGTAGCCCCCACACATGAACATAGCCCCCCTGGAGAACCAGGCCTTTCCCACCCCTCAGCCTACAAATCAGCCTAAGTGTTTTGCCAAAAAACCTAAGTGTCTATGCTGTAGTACTGGGCTCGCTGTGGCCGAGTGGCAAAGGCGATGGAATGGGGAGTCATTGAGGTCCTCCCACGCAGGTTCGAATCCTGCCCACAGCACTTAGAATTATTTTCACATTTGCTTGGAGCACCAGGCCTGTGATGGCTCTATTTCAAGCCGTACTTCAGGGCTTTTTTCGGGGTTAAAACCTCCGAGGACCCACCCTGGGTCTCAGGCTTGCCAGTGCTGCATTTATGTCCGGATTTCTAAGCTTTTTTCGGGGATAGAACCTCCACAGAATCCCCTCGGTTCTGGGACCCGCATGGCCCTATTTTAAGCCGGATTTAAGGGCTTTTTTCGGGGTTAAAACCTCCGAGGACCCCCCTGGGTCTCAGGCTTTCCAGTGCTGCATTTATGTCCGGATTTCTAAGCTTTTTTCGGGGATAGAACCTCCACAGAATCCCCTCGGTTCTGGGACCCGCATGGCCCTATTTTAAGCCGGATTTAAGGGCTTTTTTCGGGGTTAAAACCTCCAGGGACTCCCCTTGGTTCTGGGACCTGTCATTGCTCTTTTTCAAGACAGATTTCATGCGCTCTCTCCCGGGGAGAAATGCGCCCACCCTTATTCTTTGAGAATATGTGTGCACTTGTTTTCAACTCCTGGTGGGTTCCATAACCTGAGATTCCACTCACGTCATGGGGACTGGTTTTACGTGGTGGGGCCCGAACACCGGACCCCACTGGTCCAAGCTTAATAATCAATGGGTAATGCTTTTCTAACGGTCCTTATGCAGTCTCTGTAAAAATATGGAAAGGACCCCTGGAGGTTTACTTTCCTGAAAAAAGTGTGTTATGTGTCGGAACCCTGGTGGTGGGTTGCGGGATATCAAGGAGGGGCACACTGGGGCAATTTCAGTCCAGCAGGCTGGAGCCAATCATGGAGCAGCACAACAGAGGCTGGAGCCAATCATGGAGCAGCACAACAGAGGCTGGAGCCAATCATGGAGCAGCACAACAGAGGCTGGAGCCAATCATGGAGCAGCACAACAGAGGAAGTCAGGTGTCAGGCTAGAAAAGGTGCAAGTGTGTGGTTCATTAGGCTGCAGCCAATCACAGAGCAGCACACTGAAGCGCACGCTTACAAACCACTGGTAAGTGCTGACTACAAGTCATGACTTCAAATTGTTATATAGAATGATTACAAATTATTTGTTGTTTGTGCAGCTTAGTCAAGAGTCCCTAATTGATGAAGTCGACTCAGACTCAGATTCTGACGATTTAACTGTCAAGAAGAAACCTGTAAAAAAGTATGGAAAAAGAAAAATCAAAAACACTTTTCTTCAAGACTCGGAAAGTGACGAACCAAAGGCAAATAAGATTGTTATCATGCAGCTGCAAAAGAAGAAAAATGGGGGGAGAGTTTACAGCAAGAGACACTTCTGCCTCTACTGTTCAATGTCCTGCCACAAAATGTCCCGTCATTTGACTAGAAAACATGGAAATGAAAGTGACGTAGCCAGAGCATTGGCTCTACCTGTGAAATCTAAAGCACGTAAACTTCAGTTTGATTTGATCAGGAATAGTGGAAACCGTGAGCACAATTTTGAGGTTTTAAAGGCCGGCATTGGAACTTTAGTCCCAGCTAAACAGCCAAATTGCCCAGTTAAATCCAGTGAGTTTTTGCACTGTATAGACACTGTATAGACCTTATTCCTTCCAACTTTAACCATGTGATTGATGCAGTCAGGTCTGTGGCTGGATATGATGAGGAAACAAATCAATACAAGACTCCATCCTTGGCCCTCAAACTCGGCCATAGCCTCAGAAAGCAGATATTCTTGACTGTGACTCAAAAATGGAGCATTGTGTTGATGAACTATTTATTAAAAACCTCCAACGAAGCCGGCTGCTTTTTGAGAAGAGGTGGGACGTCTGTGTTTCTTCTGCTGCCCTACAGACCCTCCGGCAAGCCAAGTGGAACACTCCGGACCTGCTCCCTCTGACTGAGGACGTTAGAGCCATGCATGCACATATTGAGGTATGTCGACCTGAATATGTGCAAACCCTAATAAGTGAGCCAACGTCTAAGCATTGGTCTAAACTGGCAGTTTTGACTCTTTGTGAGGTCATTATTTTCAATCGAAGAAGGGAAGGTGAGGTTTCAAAGATGCCACTGACAGCCTTTACCTTAAGAAGTAAGACTGGGATCCATTCTGACATTGCTCTGGGACTGTCCCAACTTGAGAAAAAGCTGTGTCAGCATTTTCAACGCATTGAAATTAAAGGGAAAAGAAGTCGGAAAGTGCCGGTTCTTTTGACTCCTGAAATGATTGCTTCGATGGAGGTGCTGGTGGAGAACAGAAGGGCCTGTTCCATCTCTGACCATAACCCATACTTCTTCTCCCGCCCGGCCGCAGACACCCACATCAGGGGATCAGACTCCCTACGCCAGGTAGCCAAAGAATGTGGTGCGGTGCATCCAGAGATGCTATCCTCAACCAAACTTAGAAAGCACATAGCTACTATGTCTATAGTTCTCAATATGAAAGAGAATGAGATGGACATACTTGCCAACTTCCTCGGCCATGACATTCGCATCCACAGGCAACATTACAGACTACCAGAGGGGACACTGGAGCTGGCCAAAATCAGCAAAGTGTTGATGGCCATGGAGCAGGGAAGAGTGACGGAATTCGAAGGAAAGAGCCTCGACCAGATACAAATTGAGCCTGAAGGTAATTCTTGATATTATTAAAATATGTATGATTTTTTTCCCCTAAAGGCCACTTGTATTTTTATTTTCTGTGCGACAGGGAGAGCAGTAGAGATCCTCTCACAAACGGACGGGCTAAAAGAAACTTCAAGCGGAGAACCTTCAACCATTCATCCAGATGCACCCCATGGTAGTGGCAGTGCCCCTTCTGGTAAGTGTACCAGGTGGGGGATTACAGCCAGGCTGCTTGGTCCTAACCCTGGGAGTGTATATTGCTAATATATTTTTATTTCTCTCCCTAGAACGTTAGAGAAAGCCATGGTCTGCATCTGAGGTGAAGGCTGTGGAGAAGACCATGACACCTTTCATACAGACTGGAAAGGTCCCTGGGAAGTCTCACTGCCTGGCCTGGCCTGGCCTGGCCTGGCCTGCATTAATGCCTCACCAGATGACCTTAGACATCGGACATGGAGTGGCATTAAATTCTATGTCAAAAATAGAATCACTGCAATTCGAAAAAAAAATCTAAAATAAAATTCCTTTAAAAGAGTTGTTTGGTTTCTATTGACTGTTTTGTATTACTTAAAGTAGTCCCAGTAAAAAAAGATTATGTCTATGGGTCCCATTCTGAACGGCCCTGTCAAAGGGACCCACCAGGTAACAAAAACGTGTATGTGTGTGTGTGTGTGTGTGTGTGTGTGTGCACGTGTGTGTGTGTGTCTGTGTGTGTGTGTGCACGTGTGTGTCTGTGTGTGTGTCTGTGTGTGTATGTGTGTGTCTTTGTGTGTGTCTGTCTGGGTGTGTGTGTCTGTGTGTGTCTGTGTGTGTCTTTGTGTGTGTGTGTGCGTGTCTGTGTGTGTCTTTGTTTGTATGTGTGTGTGTGTAATTGTCTGTGTGTGTCTGTGTGTCTTTGTGTGTGTGCGTGTGTGTGTGTCTGTGTGTGTGTGTCTTTGTGTGTGTGTGTCTGTGTGTGTGTGTGTTTGTGTGTCTGTCTGTGTGTGTGTGTGTGTTGTAGGTCTGAATACAACAGATGGATCAAACCAAACGCCAGAAGATGCTGTGACCTCTGACCCCAGCGTCGCCATGGAAACACCTCCACAGGACCAGGACCTCCAGATCAGCATCACTGCCATGGCAACACCCCCTCTGAGGGAGAGGGGGGGAGAGGGGGAGGCAGAGGGGGAGGTAGATGGGGAGGTAGATGGGGAGGGGAGCGGGGAGGTCCCAGTCCACAGAGCTAAGAGAAGTGTGTCTGTCCTGGGTCAGGACGTGGGAGACCAGGGGGGGTCCAGGAGCCAGATCTGGGGAGACAGGAGCGGGTGGGGCCAGGAGGAGGAGGTGCTGGAGCAGTGGCAGCGATGGTGGTTGGACCGACACACCAGGGACCAGATGATGGTCCGGAAACTCATCACACCTGGTGACACCGAGGAGCAGGAGGACCAGAACAACCCCGGAGTCATGCGCAAGATCTACGAGGAGTTCGACATCTCCTGCTGTCCCCTGGTCTACTACGGCCAGAGATACCAGCGACTGTATGTGAGTGTACCAGCGATACCAGAGATACCAGCGACTGTATGTGAGTGTACCAGCGATACCAGAGATACCAGCGACTGTATGTGAGTGTACCAGCGATACCAGAGATACCAGCGACTGTATGTGAGTGTACCAGCGATACCAGAGATACCAGCGACTGTATGTGAGTGTACCAGAGATACCAGCGACTGTATGTGAGTGTACCAGCGATACCAGAGATACCAGCGACTGTATGTGAGTGTACCAGCGATACCAGAGATACCAGCGACTGTATGTGAGTGTACCAGCGATACCAGAGATACCAGCGACTGTATGTGAGTGTACCAGCGATACCAGAGATACCAGCGACTGTATGTGAGTGTACCAGCGATACCAGAGATACCAGCGACTGTATATGAGTGTACCAGCGATACCAGAGATACCAGCGACTGTATGTGAGTGTACCAGCAATACCAGAGATACCAGAGATACCAGCGACTGTATGTGAGTGTACCAGCGATACCAGAGATACCAGTGACTGTATGTGAGTGTACCAGCGATACCAGACATACCAGCGACTGTATGTGAGTGTACCAGCAACACCAGAAATACCAGCGACTCTATGTGAGTGTACCAGAGATACCAGCGACTGTATGTGAGTGTACCAGAGATACCAGCGACTGTATGTGAGTGTACCAGCGATACCAGAGATACCAGCGACTGTATGTGAGTGTACCAGCGATACCAGAGATACCAGCGACTGTATGTGAGTGTACCAGAGATACCAGCGACTGTATGTGAGTGTACCAGAGATACCAGCGACTGTATGTGAGTGTACCAGCGATACCAGAGATACCAGCAACTGTATGTGAGTGTACCAGCGATACCAGAGATACCAGCGACTGTATGTGAGTGTACCAGCGATACCAGAGATACCAGCGACTGTATGTGAGTGTACCAGCGATACCAGAGATACCAGCGACTGTATATGAGTGTACCAGCGATACCAGAGATACCAGCGACTGTATGTGAGTGTACCAGCAATACCAGAGATACCAGAGATACCAGCGACTGTATGTGAGTGTACCAGCGATACCAGAGATACCAGTGACTGTATGTGAGTGTACCAGCGATACCAGACATACCAGCGACTGTATGTGAGTGTACCAGCAACACCAGAAATACCAGCGACTCTATGTGAGTGTACCAGCGATACCAGAGATACCAGCGACTGTATGTGAGTGTACCAGCAATACCAGAGATACCAGCAACTTTATGTGAGTGTACCAGCGATACCAGAGATACCAGTGACTCTGTGTGAGTGTACAGCGATACCAGAGATACCAGAGATACCAGCGACTCTATGTAAGTGTACCAGAGATACTATGTGAGTGTACCAGAGATACCAGCGGCTCAATGTGAGTGTACCAGCAATACCAGCGGCACTATGTGAGTGTACCAGAGATACTATCTGAGTGTACCAGAGATACCAGCGGCTCTATCTGAGTGTACCAGAGATACCAGCAGCACTATGTGAGCGTACCAGAGATACTATGTGAGTGTACCAGAGACACCAGCGGCTCTATGTGAGTGTACCAGAGATACCAGCGGCTCTATGTGAGTGCACCAGCAATACCAGCGACTCTATGTGAGTGTACCAGCAATACCAGCGGCCCTATGTGAGTGTACCAGAGATATCAGCGGCTCTATGTGAGTGTACCAGCAATACCAGCGGCACTATGTGAGTGTACCAGAGATACTATGTGATAGTACCAGAGATACCAGCAGCACTATGTGAGTGTACCATAGATACTATGTGAGTGTACCAGAGATACCAGCGGCTCTATGTGAGTGTACCAGAGATACCAGCGACTCTATGTGAGTGTACCAGAGATACCAGCGACTCTATGTGAGTGTACCAGAGATACCAGCGGCACTATGTGAGTGTACCAGAGATACCAGCGGCTCTATGTGAGTGTACCAGAGATACTATGTGAGTGTACTAGAGACACCAGCGACTGTATGTGAGTGTACCAGAGATACCAGCAGCACTATGTGAGTGTACCGGAGATACCAGCGGCTCTATGTGAGTGTACCAGAGATACCAGCGGCTCTATGTGAGTGTACCAGAGATACCAGCGGCACTATGTGAGTGTACCGGAGATACCAGCGGCTCTATGTGAGTGTACCAGAGATACCAGCAGCTCTATGTGAATGTACCAGAGATACCAGCAGCTCTATGTGAGTGTACCAGAAATACCAGCAGCTCTATGTGAATGTACCAGAGATACCAGCGGCTCTATGTGAGTGTACCAGAGATACCAGCAGCTCTATGTGAATGTACCAGAGATACCAGCAGCTCTATGTGAGTGTACCAGAGATACCAGCAGCTCTATGTGAATGTACCAGAGATACCAGCAGCTCTATGTGAGTGTACCAGAGATACCAGCAGCTCTATGTGAATGTACCAGAGATACCAGCGGCTCTATGTGAGTGTACCAGAGATACCAGCAGTGAGTGAGCTCTAGAACGTTTAACCATCTCATGACCACAGACTGTTTACAGGTGGCTAGCTCAATGCTAACCTTCTCCTCCCCCTTCTCCCCCTCTCCCCCCTCCTCTCCCTCATCCTCTCCTCTCCTCTCCCTCATCCTCCCCTCTCCCCCTCCTCAGGTGAACCACACCCTGGGCTCCTCCATGGTCTGCTTTGATGGTCCCATGGCAGTGGGGGGAGACTGTGTGCAGATGCCCCCCATGGTTCTGCTGCAGCTGGTTGCCACAAACAGAGCCCGCGTCCTGAGCGCAAACTTCAGCTCCTTCTTTCCTCAAGTCGACCCCAACCTGGCAACCTGCTCCCTGGAACTCACTCTGCAGTTCACTGACAAGGAGGTGAGACTACCATGAGACCGGAGGGACCAGGGACACTATGGGGACCATGGGGACCAGAGGGACCAGATGGACTATGGGGACCAGAAGGACTAGACGGATCATGAGGGACCAGAGGGACCAGAAGGACTATGGGGACCAGAGGGACCATGGAGACCAGAGGGACCAGAAGGATTATGGGGACCAGAGGGATTATGGGGACCATGGGGACTATGGGGACCAGAGGTATTATGGGGACTAGAGGGACTATGGAGACCAGAGAGACTATGGGGGCTAGAGGGACGAGGGCGACCAGAGGGACCAGATGGACCATGGGGACCAGAGGGACTATGGGGAACAGAGGGACTATGGGGATTATGGGGATCAGAGAAACCATAGGGACCATGGGGACCAGAGGGACTATGCGGACAAGAGGGATTATGGGGACTATGGAGATTATGAGGACCAGAAGGACCTTAACCCTGACCAGAGGGAGTATGGGGACCAGAGGGATTATGGAGACCATGGGGATTATGAGGACCAGAGTTATTATGGGAACCAGAGGGACCAGAAGGACGATAGGGACTAGAGGGACCAGAGAGACTATGAAGACCAGAGACACCAGAGGGACTATGGGGACCAGAGAGAGCATGGAGGACACAGAGGGACCATGAAGACCAGAGGGACCAGAGAGACCATGAAGACCAGAGGGACTATGGGGACCAGAGAGAGAATGGAGACAAGAGGGACCATGGGAACCAGAACGACCTGAGTGCTTTTGCCTTGCAGAGTATTTTGAAGACGTACCAGTTCAAGGACCATACCATCTTTCACCTGGATGCTCACGTGAAAGGAGTCAAGGAGAACGCGGTGAGTGTTCGTTCATTTAACTGGGAAATCAAATCAGTACAATGGGTTATGTGAACTTAAAGCACATGTATGTAACTTTCAAACCATAAAACCACTGATTAAATAAGCACGTCTGTGGTTCCTCAATCTAAAACTATAGGTCCTGTCTCTGCTTCCACACCACGTGTTTTTATCGTGACTCTGTCCAGACCCTTCTCTTCAGGGTCTGGGTCTGGGTCAAGGTCTCCTTCATAGCGGATGGATCTCAGAAGGTGGGCCTTGTAAAAAAAATCCTTGTATGTGATTGGATAAACCACTTGTCCGTTATCTTGAGTGAAACCACTCAGAATTATTTTTTGGCTGAAAACGTAAAGTAGTCATCTTGGGCCATCATGATTCTGTTTAATGTCTTTCTGCTTTTTTATTACCTACAAGTCTCTGGGAACAAAAGTATGTGGGAAACCACCCAACCTGGCAACCCTGCTGCATACGAACATATGACTCTTAAAACACACGTATGACCAGTGTTGTGCCAGTTCACAGCTTTTCTGAACAAGTTCTGTTCATACAGGCTCAAAGTGAACAGTTCACCTTCCAAGTTCACTATTTTAATTCTGAACTACTTCAAAGTTCAGTTCATTTTACTTTTTTTGTGAGATATTTTTCACACTACGAGCTACAACTCACTAAACGGGCCTGTGTCGCTGACTCACCCTGTGGTTTCATCACGACTCGGGCACATGTGAGTCCAACAACCCATGAACAGCACTAGCATACAGCGCCGCACCAACACGGAGTCAGGGTGCGTTCACAAACGGTGGAAACCGTGGGAAATTTTAGTTTCCGGTGGAAAAAGTGCGGAGAATAAAGGAGGAAGAACTTTCTCTTGATGCGGTTCAAAAGAAAAAACAGATGGAAAACTAATTCACACGTTCATTTACAGTGATGTCGTTCATGACACATGATGTGAACTCTCTGGTCTCACTCTGGTCTCACTCTGGTCTCTCTCTGGTCTCTCTCTGGTCTCTCTCTCTGGTCTCACTCTGGTCTCACTCTGGTCTCTCTCTGGTCTCTCTCTGGTCTCTCTCTGGTCTCTCTCTGGTCTCTCTCTGGTCTCTCTCTGGTCTCTCTCCGGTCTCTCTCTCTGGTCTCTCTCTGGTCTCTCTCTGGTCTCTCTCTGGTCTCTCTCTGGTCTCTCTCTGGTCTCTCCCTGGTCTCTCTCTGGTCTCTCTCTGGTCTCTCTCTGGTCTCTCTGGTCTCTCTCTGGTCTCTCTCTGGTCTCTCTCTGGTCTTTCTGGTCTCTCTCGGTCTCTCTCTGGTCTCTCTGGTCTCTCTGGTCTCTCTCTGGTCTCTCTCTGGTCTCTCTCTGGTCTCTCTCTGGTCTCTCTCTGGTCTCTCTGGTCTCTCTCTGGTCTCTCTCTGGTCTCTCTCTGGTCTCTCTGGTCTCTCTCTGGTCTCTCTCTGGTCTCTCTCTGGTCTCTCTCTGGTCTCTCTCTGGTCTCTCTCTGGTCTCTCTCTGGTCTCTCTCTGGTCTTTCTGGTCTCTCTCTGGTCTCTCTCTGGTCTCACTCTAGTCTCTCTCTGGTCTCACTGGTCTCTCTGGTCTCTCTCTGGTCTCTCTCTGGTCTCTCTGGTCTCTCTCTGGTCTCTCTCTGGTCTCTCTCTGGTCTCACTGGTCTCTCTGGTCTCTCTCTGGTCTCTCTCTGGTCTCTCTGGTCTCTCTCTGGTCTCTCTGGTCTCTCTCTGGTCTCTCTCTGGTCTCTCTGGTCTCTCTCTGGTCTCTCTCTGGTCTCTCTGGTCTCTCTCTGGTCTCTCTCTGGTCTCTCTGGTCTCTCTCTGGTCTCTCTCTGGTCTCTCTCTGGTCTCACTCTAGTCTCTCTCTGGTCTCTCTGGTCTCTCTGGTCTCTCTCTGGTCTCTCTCTGGTCTCTCTGGTCTCTCTCTGGTCTCTCTGGTCTCTCTCTGGTCTCTCTCTGGTCTCTCTGGTCTCTCTCTGGTCTCTCTCTGGTCTCTCTCTGGTCTCTCTCTGGTCTCTCTGGGTCTCTCTCTGGTCTCTCTCTGGTCTCTCTCTGGTCTCTCTCTGGTCTCTCTCTGGTCTCTCTCTGGTCTCTCTGGTCTCTCTCTGGTCTCTCTCCAGTCTCTCTCTCTGGTCTCTCTCTGGTCTCTCTCTGGTCTCTCCCTGGTCTCTCTCTGGTCTCTCTCTGGTCTCTCTGGTCTCTCTCTGGTCTCTCTCTGGTCTCTCTGGTCTCTCTCTGGTCTCTCTCTGGTCTCTCTCTGGTCTTTCTGGTCTCTCTCTGGTCTCTCTCTGGTCTCTCTGGTCTCTCTCTGGTCTCTCTCTGGTCTCTCTCTGGTCTCTCTCTGGTCTCTCTCTGGTCTCTCTGGTCTCTCTCTGGTCTCTCTCTGGTCTCTCTCTGGTCTCTCTGGTCTCTCTCTGGTCTCTCTCTGGTCTCTCTCTGGTCTCTCTCTGGTCTCTCTCTGGTCTTTCTGGTCTCTCTCTGGTCTCTCTCTGGTCTCACTCTAGTCTCTCTCTGGTCTCACTGGTCTCTCTGGTCTCTCTCTGGTCTCTCTCTGGTCTCTCTGGTCTCTCTCTGGTCTCTCTGGTCTCTCTCTGGTCTCTCTCTGGTCTCTCTGGTCTCTCTCTGGTCTCTCTCTGGTCTCTCTGGTCTCTCTCTGGTCTCTCTCTGGTCTCTCTGGTCTCTCTCTGGTCTCTCTCTGGTCTCTCTCTGGTCTCACTCTAGTCTCTCTCTGGTCTCTCTGGTCTCTCTGGTCTCTCTCTGGTCTCTCTCTGGTCTCTCTGGTCTCTCTCTGGTCTCTCTGGTCTCTCTCTGGTCTCTCTCTGGTCTCTCTGGTCTCTCTCTGGTCTCTCTCTGGTCTCTCTCTGGTCTCTCTCTGGTCTCTCTGGTCTCTCTCTGGTCTCTCTCTGGTCTCTCTCTGGTCTCTCTCTGGTCTCTCTGGTCTCTCTCTGGTCTCTCTCTGGTCTCTCTCTGGTCTCTCTCTGTTCTCTCTCTGGTCTCTCTCTGGTCTCTCTCTGT